TTGTTCTTGCCACAAGTAAGTAAAGGATGAGGGCACAGCATGTATACACTGAAGATGGCCTTATGTACAAATCCTTCTCAGTAGGCTGAATGAGATAAATGCCTAGCTTTCCTTTTTCATGCTAAACAGTGTAGATAGACAACCCCAACCCCCACCCCCAGGTATTGTATTCTGACAGCTGGCACCCAAGACTCTCAGAATACCCAATACAGTAACCTCAGCCACAGCATTTTTTTCCACCTGGCTTCTTTGATGGACATCCAGGGCTTGAATTTAAGACGTGTGTAGCAGCTTTAGTCCTGCATATTTATTTCACTTGGCAGCAGGTCAGAAGATATATCCAATGGATTTCACCTTCTTCCAGGTTCATATGCTGGCAATTATTGAGATACACTGGATAGCAGTTTTATGAGACAAGGATTAACATGCTGCACCTTGGAAGATTTACTCAATCACAACCCAACTCCAGCAGGAAAGGGTTCTAGCAGCCATTCTCAACAGGGGTTCCATGGGACCCTAGGGTTTTTCAAGAGGCTTGCAGGGGTTCTTTGAGCTGTGGCTGATTGGCCAACAATCTAATGGTGCCTACACAGTTCCAGGGCCAAACACCCATTGGCAGAGTTCACAAATTATCTTTTTAGCTATCTGTAAAGGTTACATTCTTCCTACTTACCACCAACATAAGTGAAATTTTTTCCATGAATCTGTGATTAATTGGTTTTCATTAGCAAGAGATCCACAAGACCTGAAAATTATTTCAGGGGTTCCTCTGGGGTAAAATGATTGGGTAAGAGCTTAGGGGATCTGTAGTAGTGATATTGTAGCTTGAAATGATGTTGACAGCTTCTGCAATGAGGAGCGGGAGTGCAGCCTGGCTGGTCCAACCCCAACTGGGAGTCTTCCAAAAGTGGAGGACAGCGTAGTCCCTGCACTTTCCCTACTCCTACAGAACCTCTCCCTGTCACTATGTGTTGTCCCTGACAGATAGTGTACCTGTCCCTACACTAGCCACTAGCAAAATGCATGCCAAAACAGGGGGCCAGGCTCTTAAACAAGCTCTGAGCTCCCCCAAGATGGCCATGGAGATCACGAGAGGCACTAGCATCCAGTCAGACAGCTTGATGACCGCAGAAAGTTATAGAGGAACTCAGTTCCCCACAACTTCCTTCCCCTTCTATGTTGCTTAAGCCTAGCGCCACCTACAGAGGGGAGCGCAGACTGCAGCCCGCTTACAACCTTATTGGAAGAATTTCTGTTGGGAAGAAAGTATGAAGTGGGAATAAAGAAATGGAAAAACAACACATTTTGTTGTAGAATGGGGAGGGGCTGGATTATCTCAAAATGTTGTGCATGACGTCTCCCTGACCCAGTGGTAACAACCGCTCCCCCAACTCCTGGTATCATAGGGAAAGTGCTGTCAACGTTGACAGGGCTTCCATCTTCCCTTGGTCTTCCTTCCAAGTTTGCTGGCTCTGGTCCTGTGAATGGCATGATGCTGTAGGAAAGTGTGTGGCACCGCTCAAAGCCAGGAAGCAAATAGGAGTCACCCCGACAGAGGAAGCGGCGGGAGCATCATCCACAAGTTATTCCAAAAACTTGTGGATGATAGAGGGATGGACGGCCCTCAGAACATTCCCGCGAGTCCAGGGCTTGAGCACAGAGGCACCTCTATGATCAAGCGTTGGTGGGAGCGGTGAAACGCGTCAAAGGGCATGGCCAGAGCGGTGGCTGAGGCCATCTCATATGCACCAGATAACCAGGACTGGTCTGAGCATCGTCCATCCCTCTATCACACTGAGCCACGATGCTGTCACGGTTTATGGCACAGAGCTCTGAAGGGAAGGGTTATGCTGTTCCTTCAGGTTGCATGCACTGGTGATGTCAACAGCTGCATCCAGTGTGAATATCTCCTAAACATCACAACTTTAGGAGATATTCACTGTACCTAAACTCAGGCCTTATTATAGGCTTCCCTGAAGGTACAACCTCAGAAGCAAAGCAAAGAGTGTGGGACTATAAAAAGGGAGAAGTTGGATTTTTGGTTCCCTGTAATTTTGGATTTTGGACTTTATTGCGATCCCCTATTCGATGGACATTTTGATAGTAATGAGAATGCGGGGTAGGATTTGAGGGTAAGGGAAGGTTATAGAAAAGGTTTATGTTAGCTACAAAAAACAGCCACTCACCTGTCCCACGATCCCACGTTGCCCCCGCCGCAGCCCGTTTCACCGGCCGTCCTGTATTCCAGGCTCTGGCATCTTCAGTGTGGGCACCCGGCTGTGACGGCTTGCGGCTTTCACATCCTGGTGCCCACTGTGCATGCGCGCAGTAGCGCTGCGCTTCCTGAATGGCCCCGTCATCTTCTGGGACCTGTCATGTGTCCCACAAGACTAGGGGGAGGGAGGGTAGGAGGACAACTTCCATTTCCAATCACCTAGGTGATCGCAGCGGAAGTGGGAGCGGGTACCTGTCAAATTTGGGTACCCGTCCCCCCCCCCGCTCCCCAAAGGTGCGGATCCCTAATGACATTTTGATAGTAATGAGAATGCGGGGTAGGATTTGAGGGTAAGGGAAGGTTATAGAAAAGGTTTATGTTATTTGCACTTTCAAGGGTGAAAGTTTTACTTTTCTTTGGGGATTTATAGAGTTTTTTTTTTAATTGTTTTTTGTAGCTGCTGACTTTTACTTTTTTTACACAGTGAGTGGAACTCCGCTTTAAGTGCAGAACTATGTACAGGCGGCAGATCAGGTAAGTATGGATCCTCTTCTTTTGCTGGATGTTTTTGTTTCTAATTTTTAATTCAGCATAAGAGACACTTTAAAATACATTAAATCACATTAATAAGAACAGTTTATTAGCGTAAGTCAACTGATTCTGACAATATCCTGCAGAAATAGATAGACACCGCATTGTCCTGTACCAATCATTTGCATATATATAGCCTCCAGGTTGCTTTGTAATTCGTTGTTTGTTTTCTCTATGAACGATATTTAATAAGTAGACATAAATCACAGGAAATGACAGTCATATAATAACACAGAACATGTAACAAAGTGCATTCTTGGGGATAAACGATTTGTGGGACAAGCCTAGACATTACACAGAAATCCTGCAGTGACATAATATTGTAAAACACTTTATGCCTACAATGTATCTGTTATGACAGCGTTACTAGAAGACACCATTTATCAGCAAAGGATACATTTTTTCTACAATGTTTTCTCTCTGAATAATTTTCTGAATATTTATTCAATTTATTCAAACAAGCCCATCACTAAGGACAGGTTGGCTATTACAAGTGCAAACCTGTTTCTTTTTTTCCTTTTATTTAACAGTAGGTCAGTGATCCCCAAATAGCTGGGAGGCCGGATGTGGCCCTTTGCCTGCCTCTACCTGGCCCTTGGGGCACTATTCCACCAATTGTCACCAATGATGGAGCTCCATTTTCCCTACTGACACTATTAAAGGGCATTATACTTCTCACTCATATCAACAATGGAGCTTCTCATCGATATCAACAGTGGGTCACTATTCCTCCCTTTAAAACCAATGATGGGGAATTGATGCCAGGGCATTTTCTACTCCCACCAGCTACAGTCTGGCCCCCCTAAAGTTTGAAGGACAGTAAAATGGCCCTTTGCTTAGCAAGTTTGGATAATCCTGTAGTAGGGGAAAGGTTTTGACCCCTGTCGTGTATCTTTTGCTGTCTGGGCACCTTTTTTACAAAGCTTTTTCATATCAGACAACAATGTAACACCATCAAATGGCCGAGAAGATGGAAGCAACTTGATGGACCACTTGATGTTTTTAACCAAAGATTGTGTAATCTAAAGAGGGTACTCCACATTAATTAATATGGAGATGCCAGTTGTGGGTGTCATGGGGTAAGTCATATGCAGGGGCCCCCAGGACTGACTACTCATGGGGCCCCCACCTGGATGATACAATAGGGGACATCATGGGGCCCCTGTGAGCTTCCTTGCCCCCCCCCCCCAAACTCAAAAAACCATCAATCCCGCCCAGCAAGCCAAAGTCCTATGAAAAAACCTCATGGTACCAGGGACATCTCATGGGCCAAGCCCCCTACTGACCCCGGGACCTTGGGCAGTGCCCGGGTTTCCAAATGGTCAGCCTCCGCCCCTGGTCATATATTAATATGGAGATGCCCCTCCCTTCATAGTTTCAGAATAAGATGTCCAACCTAACCCTACCCCAATGGCCATGTTTGTGGAATGAGACTGGTGTGTTGGCCAAGTATACACAAAATTTTGTATATAGTGTATATACTATCCAAAAAAGATTTTGTAAAATGAACTTTATATTTGCCAAACCAAAAACATGTTGTGTGGACTGTAATGCAATCCATCAAGCCTTCCCATAATTAAAGCCCAACTCCAACAGATAAGGGTTAGAGCTGTTACTTCTTCCTACCCATAGAACATGCTCAAACATCCTTGGATGGGAAGGGTGCTACTCGGTCACCTCTGCAGCTTCAGCAAAGACCAAGATATTGTTTTTTAGGGCCAGATATTCAGCACAAAATAAGAGTAATCTGAGCACCTAAAGAGCTGTTGGATATTTTTTACAGGCAGACAGGCAGCCACCACCTTTACTGGGCTTTTCCATGTGATCAGTGAGCCTGGTAAGGATGCAATCGGAGGCCTCCTGCTTCTGAGACACAGATGTTGTCCCTCCCACTGTGTGATGTCAGACACCGGAAGTAACAAGGATTTAGTCACTTCCGGTTCTGGTTTGTTGTTTACGGACATTGCCGGCTTAGGAAAGCTTTGGATTGAACCGATCCGCATTTGAAAGCTTTCAAGAGCAGAGGAGGCAAAGGAGGCAGAGATGTCTCAGCAAAGAGGACCTGTCACTGCTTATTGTGAACACAAGGCATGCCTGAACATTGAGAAGAGACACAATCTCTTCTCAAACCTTCCCATAATTAACCCCCCTTGCGGTATTCCCCCGAAGTATAGCGCAGGGTTAACTTTTAGTACCAAAAGCGGTAACCCTGAGCTACACTCAGGAATACACTGCAGCATTGCTCGGGGATTTCCTCTGCACTTACCTTGTCCTGCACTCCCGCGCGATGTCCCCCCTGCCAGCGTCCCCAACCATCTCCTCCGGCCGATGCTGACATCCGTCTTCCAGGTTCCGTTCCCTGCGACGTCGGGACGTACCGTACGGGGGATGGAACTGGCAGGAAATTAAAAAATTTTAAAAGTGACATTCACTCAGTACACTAAAATCTGATAGTATAACATTACTGTATCAAACCATTTCACATACATTTTGTCCCGAGTGCTTTGTCCGGCGCCCTGCCTGCATTTTTACTGTTCTTTCTGCCTGGAAACTGAGAAACGTCCATGGCGTCCAAAAAGCGTCCCTTTAGGTGAAAATCGGTTTTAGACCGGCTAGAGAACAACGATAGTAAATCAGAACCACTTGCAGAATTGAGTGATAATGATTCGTGGGGGAAATTCATCATCAGACACTGAAAACGATTCTGCGACTTTGCTCAGTGATGTGCGAACTTGGCGCTCTATTTCATTTTTTCAGTGTTTTTGGTTTGATTATATTATTGAATTAAATGTATTATTATTATATTATCAGATGAGAATCAGGAGCATTCAGGGTGGTGTGGCCGTAGGCCGTATGTTTGTATAACTTGTTTACCTGAAAAACTAATAAATATTTAAATAAAAAAATATATATTATATTATAATTTTTTATGATTATTTATTATATTATAATTTATGATTTTGTGTTTCAAATTTTATCATCCCCGGGATGTTTACTAGACTCTTGTTCGGACAGATTTCAGTGAGTTATTCCTAAGAATTATAGGCCTACAATAAAAAAAAACAACATATTTCCATGCAAAAAAATTTACCGCTTTGAGCACAGAAATATTGACATAATTAGGGAGGATAATTTGGGAAGTTAAAGCCCAACTCCAAAAGCTTAGGGTTAGAGTCAGGATAAATCTCTCCAAGGGTAGAACAGAAAAAGCAAGAGCACATGGTGCCATAGGGTGGGGAAGGTTTAGATCAGTGGTTCTCAACCTGTGGGTCGCAACCCCTTTGGGGGTCGAACGATCCTTTCACAGGGGTCCCCTAAGCCCATCAAAAAAATGTCAGGGCAGGGCTGTGGAACGGACAGGTAGGCCTAGTGGCAGGGTAATGCACTGGCTGACGACAACCACCACCAACAGACCGAAGTCCCTCAGGGCGCGGAGTCTAAGTCCCAGGCTGCCCTTCACCAGGGCCCCTGATGGTGGGGATGGACTTGACGCAGCCAGGAACCAGGTCGCAGCCCCCGAGACACCCCGGCTGCGGTAATGGCCGCCGCCAATGGCGTGTAGCTGGTAAGAATGACAATAGCGTAGTCAGGCAGGCCGGGTCGACAACAACGGGACAAAACGGTACAGAACAGTAGACAGAGAATCACAGGTCACGGACCGGGTTCAGCAACGGAAGGTCAGATCGAAGGAAAACACAGAGAATGGTCTTAGTCACAAGCCGAGTCAGATACCAGAAGAGTCACGAGAGTATACACAGAGCTGTAGCAAGACAAAGACACAAGTGCATAGAGCATGTGCAGATCACAGGCTTATATGTACTCAGCCACACCCCTCTGGGGATGGACCTCAGAGACCTGAAGGCATAAAAGATTCCCACCATGCTCTGCAGAAATCCAAGATGGATGCCAGCACATGGAGTAACATAACCTCTGAGAAAAGGTAGGACCTTGACAAAAACACATATTTCCGATGTGTAAAGAGCAGCTACTGTGTAGAAAGCAGCTGCTGTTGGAAGCAGCTACTCTGTTAAAAGCAGCTACTGTGTTGAAACCAGCAGTATTGGAGGTAAAACGACACATGAATTATAATTACTGGGCAAATAATTTTATGGTTGGGGGTCACCACAACATGAGGAACTGTATTAAAGGGTCACGGCATTAGGAAGGTTGAGAACCACTGGTTTAGATGGTCCTGGAATGGAATGTTCAACAAGCTGACATCGGTGCTATGGTCAGGTCTCCATAAGCGTTTGGCCCTATAATGTACAGTATATATGGACCTAACTGTATATAGCAGGATATTCCGCATCTAAAATAATACAAGGGACTTGTGGTGCAACAATTGGAATGGAACCTTTGTCAGACCTACAGCACCTGTCAGGTATTTTAAACACCCAGAACTGATCGCTATACTTATTCCTAACATAACAACCCCGCAATACGTCTCTGCTTCGCTTACCACAATTCACGGGCTGCCTGACACGCTTATTTCATACACGGCCTAAATTGGACGCCAGAAGCAATGAACCTGTTCCTTGTCGTAGTTGAGGAGATTTACTGCAATGTATCTCCGGAAACGCCGTGCGCTGTCACTCAGATGGAAGCGCGCAAGAGCTGCGTGTTCACATATCTGCTCAGTGAGCTGTCTGCTCCCATCATAATAGGCAAGTACCTGGAATTATCTGGACCGTGCGGAAAGCAAACACAAAAGCTTCCATTATTTATATCATCCTGGTATATTTTTTCTTTAGAGATAAAATGACATTTAGCATTAGAAAAAGCCGGACGCTGGAAATACTCTCCTGAGATTGGTTTCTATTTATTCTCTTTGGTCCCAAAATCTACAGTATGCAGGGGCGGACTGACAACTCATGGGGCCCCCAGGCAATAGGGGATCATGGGGCCCCTGTGTCCTTGCCCAAACTCAAAAAAGCCTATGAAAAAGGTACCAGGGGCATCTCATGGGGCCCCCTACTGACCCCGGGCCCTCGGGCAGTGCCCGTGTTTCCAAATGGTCAGTCCGCCCCTGACAGTATGATAACTGGAGAAGGATGGCTCCTTTGTATCTCTACCCCAATCCTTCTTTTTTATTTGTGGATGGAGTGTGGAGTGACTCTTGTCTCTGGGACAGACAGTGATGGATAATTCAAAAGTCTGCAGTTCTCACCTGAACAGGAATAGGGAAGAAATATTCATATGGGGACACTGTTAAGGGTGACAACTGTCTAAGAAAGGATTTCCCCCTCCTTACATAGTCTGGCTGGGAAAAAATAGTCCATCCAGTCCATCAAACCGAAAAAAAAAGTTATAATCCTATACCCACAGTTGATCCAGAGGAAGGCAATTTGCTCCTGCAGAGAAACAAATTCCTTCCTGATCCCCCGAGAGGGAATCGGATATTCCCTGGATCAACTTTACCTATAAATGTTATATCCAGTTATATTCTGTGTATCCAAGAAAGAATCCAGGACTTTCCTACAGCAATCCACTGAGCTGGCCACAACCAACTCTTGAGGGAGTCTATTCCACATTTTCACAGCTCTCACTGTGAAGAAACCTTTCCGTGTTTGGAGATTACATTTATTTTCCTCCAGACGTAAAGAGCGCCCCCTTGTCCTCTGTGATAACCTCAGGGTGAATAACTACACCAAGTTCACTATATGAACCACTGATGTATTTATACATGGAGATCATATCCCCCCTTATGTATTATACATGGTGATCATATCCCCCCTTATGTATTATACATGGAGATCATATCCCCCTTATGTATTATACATGGAGATCATATCCCCCCTTATGTATTATACATGGAGATCATATCCCCCCTTATGTATTATACATGGAGATCATATCCCCCTTATGTATTATACATGGAGATCATATCCCCCCTTATGTATTATACATGGAGATCATATCCCCCCTTATGTATTATACATGGAGATCATATCCCCCCTTATGTATTATACATGGTGATCATATCCCCCCTTATGTATTATACATGGAGATCATATCCCCCCTTATGTATTATACATGGAGATCATATCCCCCCTATATGTATTATACATGGAGATCATATCCCCCTTATGTATTATACATGGAGATCATATCCCCCCTTATGTATTATACATGGAGATCATATCCCCCCTTATGTATTATACATGGAGATCATATCCCCCCTTATGTATTATACATGGAGATCATATCCCCCCTTATGTATTATACATGGAGATCATATCCCCCCTTATGTATTATACATGGAGATCATATCCCCCCTTATGTATTATACATGGAGATCATATCCCCCCTTATGTATTATACATGGTGATCATATCCCCCTTATGTATTATACATGGAGATCATATCCCCCCTTATGTATTATACATGGATCATATCCCCCCTTATGATTATACATGGAGATCATATCCCCCCCCCCCCCTTATGTATTATCACATGGAGATCATATCCCCCCTTATGTATTGTACATGGAGATCATATCCCCCTATGTATTATACATGGAGATCATATCCCCCCTTATGTATTGTACATGGAGATCATATCCCCCTTATGTATTATACATGGAGATCATATCCCCCCTTATGTATTATACATGGAGATCATATCCCCCTTATGTATTATACATGGAGATCATATCCCCCCTTATGTATTATACATGAGATCATATCCCCCCTTATGTATTATACATGGTGATCATATCCCCCCTAATGTATTATACATGGTGATCATATCCCCCCTAATGTATTATACATGGAGATCATATTCCCCTTAATCTCCTCTTCTCAATAGAGAATACATTTAGTTCCTCCAATCTTTCCTCATAGCTGATCTCCTCCATGCCTCGTATCAGTTTGGTTGCCTTTCTCTGTACTTTCTCCAGTTCCCCAATGTTCTTTTTGTGAATTGGTACCCAAAATTGAACTGCATATTCCAGATGAGGTCTTACCAATGATTTGTACCGGGGGACATTATATATCTCTCTCTGGAGTCTATACCTCTCCTATTACAAGAGAGGATTTTCCTCACGTTAGAACCCGCAGCTTGGCATTGCATGTCATTATTAAGATTGTGATCTACCAGAACCCCCAGATCCTTCTCCACCATTGACCTCCCCAGATCCTTCTCCACCATTGACCCTCCCAGATCCTTCTCCACCATTGACCTTCCCAGATCCTTCTCCACCATTGACCCTCCCAGATCCTTCTCCACCATTGACCCTCCCAGATCCTTCTCCACCATTGACCCTCCCAGATCCTTCTCCACCATTGACCCTCCCAGATCCTTCTCCACCATTGACCCTTCAGATCCTTTTCCACCATTGATTCCCCCAGTTGTACCCCCCTAGTATGTATGACGCATGCATATTCTTAGCCTCCGAGTGCAGAACCTTACATTTATCAACATTAAACCTCATTGTCCCCATAGTCCCCCAATTACACAGAGCATTGAGGTTGGTTTGTAAGTTGGAGACATCCTGTAAGGACGTTATTCCCCGGCACAGCTTGGTGTCATCTGCAAAGACTGAAATGGGATTTATAATCCCAGACCCCATATCATTTATAAATATATTAAAAAGTAAGGGTCCCAACACTGAACCTTGGGGTACCCCACACTAATAACATAAAATAAGTGCAGGGCTAAAAGTAGTGATAATACAGATATAAGTCCACTGAAAGTCTTGGTCATATGTACGTGTCCAGTGACAAATGAGGATTCAGAATTGGTGATCCGTGTGGAAACGGCTGAAAAACGCACTCACCAGAAGTAAGACACATAAACGCAGTGTGCATCTAGAGCTCATGGATCCTCAATCCAGAAGGGGATAAAGCTGGTCCGGTTACAGGAATGGTGGATCCCTCCTCTGTGGATGCAGCAACAGATCCTATATTTTTTTCAGTATGTGCTTGCTCCTACTCAGCATGTTGTAGATGAGCAATTCTTAGATGTGGTGGTTGCATTAGTTTCATTTTTAGGCTTTTTTCCATTATTTTCACTTGGTGATCCAGGCAGTAAGTATTTTATTTTTCAACTTCCTTTAACAGACCAAGCTGTCCTTGATTGTAGCAGCTGTTCAACAAGAATGCTGAAGGAAGAAATCACAGATAGCGAATACTTGGTGTACCTACGAATTCTAGGATTAGTCAAAATGGCCACCAGCCTTCCATGCGGCCTCTGTGGCGTGACGTCACTATGGCAAGGCTCCTCCCACTAATAACACTGAACCTTGGGGTACACCACTAATAACACTGATACTTGGAGTACACCACTAACAACACTGAACCTTGAGGTACCCCCCAATAATACTGAACCTTGGGGTACACCACTAATAACACTGAACCTTGAGGTACCCCCCAATAATACTGAACCTTGGGGTACACCACTAATAACACTGAACCTTGGGGTACCACTAATAACACTGAACCTTGGGGTACACCACTAACAACACTGATACTTGGAGTACACCACTAACAACACTGAACCTTGGGGTACACCACTAATAACACTGAACCTTGGGGTACCCCACTAATAACACCGAACCTTGGGGTACCCCACTAATAACACTGAACCTTGGGGTACACCACTAACAACACTGAACCTTGGGGTACCCCACTAATAACACTGAACCTTGGGGTACCCCACTAATAACACTGAACCTTGGAGTACACCACTAACAACACTGAACCTTGGGGTACCCCACTAATAACACTGAACCTTGGGGTACCCCACTAATAACACTGAAACTTGGGGTACACCACTAATAACATTGATACTTGGAGTACAGCACTAATAACACTGAACCTTGGGGTACACCACTAACAACACTGAACCTTGGGCTACCCCACTAATAACACTGAACCTTGGGGTACACCACTAATAACACTGAACCTTGGGGTACCCCACTAATAACACTGAACCTTGGGGTACACCACTAATAACACTGAACCTTGGGGTACCCCACTAACAACACTGAACCTTGGGGTACACCACTAATAACACTGAACCTTGGAGTACACCACTAACAACACTGAACCTTGGGGTACACCACTGACACCCCTAGGCCATTCAGAGTATGAATCATTAACTACTACTCTCTGAATACCATCTTTTAGCCAGTTTTCTATCCATTTACATACAGATATTTTCAATCCTGTAGACTTTACCTTACACATTAGCCGTGTGTGGAGAATTGGGTCAAATACTTTAAGTGTTGGGATTACAGTGAGGATTAGTGTTAGCAATACAGGGAAGGTAAGTGTTAGGATTATGTGGTCCAATAGTTTTCTTAACCCATGCTTGGCAAATTAATCAAATTAAATAAAGTCTGTGTACACCCACCAGTCCATAGAGGTGAATGGGGGGTCCAATCAGGTCCACCTAAAAAACTGACAGCCGGTCCTAATCCAACCCTTCATGAGAAAGGGACCTTGAGGGTACAAGGAGAGGGCGGCCTTAGGGTAAAGCATCACTACTCCCATGATTATCATCATATTTATGGCAAAGTCTAATTATATTATCTATTATCTATTTTATATACACACACACATATATATATATATATATATATATATATATATATATATCCCCATCCTCCTACACAAGATTGGTATATTGTTTCTTTCTGTAGGGAATGGCATCCATGTGGAATGCTGTGATAAGTCTGTTACCTTCAGGATAGGTGACAATTCTAGAGCTGATAATTGCATAGATTTCTTCATATATTACAATTGGATTGCAGGAAAGGCAGATAATTAAATGTATTGATTCCCCTTTTCTCTACTAAATGCTGACCATTGAGAGGAATATTAAGTGAAGAGGTCAGCACTTGACTTCCTGGATGCTTGGGGGGAATTAAATCTACAATTCAATGCGATTACAGCATGTAACATACGTGTCCTTGTATCTACACTATGGGCCATTTAGGATGGTATGGTATACATGACAATTTAATTCCCGGAATGCCCGTGTTATAGCCCTAGGGTGTTGAGTCACACAGTCATTCACACTCCAGCGGGTTCTGACATGTTCTAACTCGCACTCTCCTGGGACACAGACCAGTGGACTCGGTCTTTACGGAGTAGAAGAAATAACACGTGCGTGCGTTGTGATGTTGGTGGAAAATGAGTGACAGGAACCTGGAGCAGCGGATTACCTTCAAATTGTTGAAAATTGGCAAAAGTGCGAATGAAATGTTAGCTCTGTTACAATAGGTTTATGGTGAACATTCCATAAAGAAATCAGTTGTTTTTGAATGGCATAGGCGGTTTACGGAGGGGCCAAAAGATGTCCACGAAGTGAGCAGCCAAAAACTCAAAGGAACGGATGCAAATGTGGAAAATGAAAAGGTTTTGGGAATCTGTTTGGAGGAAAAGACCAGAACTCTGGCCTGACAAGTGGATTCTCCACTACGACAATGCTCCTGCACATTATAGAATGATATATTATATTTAATTGTTTCAAACTTTTTTTTTTTACATTTCTTCAGTTGCTTCTTGGATTCTGGTCTAGACCAAAATAATGTCATACATCCCAGGAGGTTTTTTTTTTTTTCGGGTCGGCAGTGGCGGCGGGATCTTCTTGGGAGGACATTTTTTCAAATTTTAATTTTTAATAATGGCCTTTTCAATTACTGTTTCCTGTCATTTTTTTACTACACTTTTTTTTGTGAATGGGTAGGGGTACCATGTACCCCATACCAGGGGCGGACTGACCATTTGGAAACTCAGGCACTGCCCGAGGGCCCAGGGTCAGTAGGGGGCCCCATGAGATTCCCCTGGTACCTTTTTCATAGGCTTTTTTGATTTTGGGCAAGGACACAGGGGCCCCATGATCCCCTATTGCTGGGGGGCCCCATGAGTTGTCAGTCCGCCCCTGCCCCATATTATTCATATGGGGGGGCGGGATCTGGGGGCCCTCTTGTTAAAGAGGCTTCCAGATTCCAGATCCTGCCCACAAACACCGGACATAGTTGTGGGGAAGAGGCCCTTGTCCCCATCAACATGGAGACAAGCTGCTTTGGGGGGGAGCCCACCTGCCCCAAAGTACCCCACCATGTTGAGGGCATGCTGCCTGGTATGGTTCAGGATGGGGGGGGAGCTCGCTTGTCCCCCCCTTTCCTGACCTGCTGGGGCTGCATACTTGGATATGGGTCTGGTATGGAATTTGGGAGGGAGCCCCACACCATTTTTTTACATTTTTGGCGTGGGCGTTTCCCTTCAAAATCGACACCAGACCCAAAGGGCTTTGTAAGGAGGGGGGGGACCTCACACTTTTTTTAAGCTCTGGTTCACACTGATGCGTTTTCAGCACCGCATCAGAATCTCACCCCGTTCATGCGAACAGCTGCGGGTGTGTATGGTAAATTAACAACACCCCGAAATCGGTCCACAAAACGTGGTGCGATGTGCAGAATCGGATCGCATAGGTGTGAATACCCATGTGATCCGATTCTAGTGCGGACCCAAAAAAATGGTCCCGCACGTTTTTAGTGTGGGTGTGGTGCGATTAGAGCCATACAAAATGTACGACTCCGATCGCACCACATACAAATCACATGTGATTTGCACAGGAATGTGTTGCGGTTCCTGTGTGAATCACATGCGATATACCGCACCACGTATGTGTGAATTTATTAAATAAAAAATGTAATTGCTGGACAATTCTTTTTACATTCAGCTGAAAAAAAAAAAACAATATTTTTAGTAGCTGTGTGGTATCTTCATACTCCCCTCTGTTCGAAGTTTGCGGTGGAACTTTCCTTATGTTCGACCGCGAACTGCACAGGTGGGTGTTCGGCCCATCACTACCAAGGAGCAGAAGCTGATTTTTTTGTTTACAGTGCTCACCCCATCTGTTAGCATGTTCCTTGTCAGCAGGTGTATATACTCATACTCAGCACATGTACAATTTTCCTTTAGCCTGGGTTCACATACGTGTGGTGCGGTACATCGCATGTGATTCGCACAGGAACCATACCGCATTCCTGTGCAGATCACATGTGATTTGAGTGCGGTGCAATCAAAGCCATACATTTTGTATGGCTTTAATCGCAGCACACCTGCACCAAAAAGGCGCAGGACCCTTTTTTTAGGTCTGCACTTGAATTGGATCGCATGGGTATTCACACCTTCTGCACTTCTCACCCGCGTTTTGCGGACCGCTTTCGGGGTGTTGTTAACTTAACCAATTCCCGTCCAGCCGCTGTATATAAATGGCCGGACGGTGGCAGTGCAGGAGCGGGTTGCCGTTCATAAATGGCGCCCGCCATCGATCCAGTGCCTGCTGTGTCCTCTGTACTCCTCTGTGTGAGGTCCCAATCATGTGATCACTGATTGGCCAATCAGTGATCACACGAATAGGTGTAAGTAAGATGTCACTTCTGACATCATTGCTTACTACATGTGAAATCTGTGAATGATCACAGAGATCACATGGTACAGGGCTATTCACAATAGCCTTGTACCATGTGACAAGCTGTGACCAATCACAGCTCTCACAATATTTCTCAATGGCTGCAGGAATGCAGCCAGAGAGAAGGAGACATTATTATTATTATTATACAGTATTTATAAAGCGCTAAAAGGTTTGCTCAGCGCTTTACATTATAATGGGGGGACAGAACATGAGACAATACAGTAACAAAAAAAAAACACGAGGGGTTCAAGGGCCCTGCTCTTTGGAGCTCACAATCTAGGAGACATGATTGCTTTTACAGCCTTTATGGGTGTAAAAGCAATCAGTGTAAAAAAAAAAAAACATTTCCATCACCCCCCACAAGTAGTACAGTGTCAATATGGTGACACTGTACTGCTAGGGTGACAGTATGTAAAAAAAAAAAAATAATAATAATAATAATAATAAATAAATAAATAATAATATAAAAAAAATAATAAAAAATGTAAAAAAAAAATTTTAAAATTATAATTTTTGGTTATAAACTAATTTGGGGTTTTTTTTTTACTAAAAAGATAACTGAATAAATGTTGGCCAAGATTTATGATGAAATATTATTTATTTGCAAAATTTTATAAGAAAAACACACTTTTTTTCAAAATGGACTTTTTCATTTATATAGCAAAAAAATCCCAGCGGTGAATAAATACCACCAAAATAAAGCTTTATCTGTCTCAAAAAATGCTAAAAAAATTCATATGGTTACAGTGTTGCATGACCGCGCAATTGTCATTCAAAGTGTTATAGCGCTGAAAGCTGAAAATTGACCTGGGCAAGAAGGGGGGTAAAAGTGTCCAGACTGGAAGGGGGGGGTGGAAGTATCCGGACTGGAAGGGGGGGGGGAAAGTGTCCGGACTGGAAGGGGGGGAAAGTGTCCGGACTGGAAGGGGGGGAAAGTGTCCGGACTGGAAGGGGGGGGGGAAGTGTCTGGACTGGAAGGGGGGGAAAGTTTCCGATCTGGAAGGGGGGGAAAGTGTCCGGACTGGAAAGAGGGGGAAAGTGTCCGGACTGGAAGGGGGTGAAAGTGGCCAGACTGGAAGGGGGGGGGAAAGTGTCCGGACTGGAAGGGGGGGAAAGTGTCCGGACAGGAAGGGGGTGAAAGTGGCCAGACTGGAAGGGGGGGAAAGTGTCCGGACTGGAAGGGGGGGAAAGTGTCCGGACTGGAAGGGGGTGAAAGTGGCCGGACTGGAAGGGGGTGAAAGTGGCCAGACTGGAAGGGGGGGGGGGGGAAAGTGTCCGGACTGGAAGGGGGGGGAAGTGTCCGGACTGGAAGGGGGTGAAAGTGGCCAGACTGGAAGGGGGGGAAAGTGTCCGGACAGGAAGGGGGGGAAAGTGTCCGGACTGGAAGGGGGGGAAAGCATCCGGACTGGAAGGGGGGAAAGTGTCCAGACTGGAAGGGGAGGAAAGTGTCCGGACCGGAAGGGGGTAAAAGTGTCCGGACTGGAAGGGGGGAAAGCGTCTGGACTGGAAGGGGGGGGAAGTGTCCGGACTGGAAGGGGGGGAAAGTGTCCGGACTGGAAGGGGGGGAAAAGTGTCCAGACTGGAAGGGGGGGGAAAGCGTCCGGACTGGAAGGGGGGGGGAAGCGTCCGGATTGGAAGGGGGGAAAGTGTCCAGACTGGAAGGGGGGGAAAGTGTCCAGACTGGAAGGGGGGGGAAAGCGTCCGGACTGGAAGGGGGGGTGAAAGTGTCTGGACTGGAAGGGGGGGGGGGGGAAAGAGTCCAGACTGGAAGGGGGGGACTAAAAAAATGTCCGGACTGGAAGTGGTTAACATACACACCCGCAGCGGTTCGGGGTGCGGAATTCAAACAGAAAACGCTGTGAATTCCGCACCGCATCAGTGTGAACCCGGGCTTAACTATTTTTCTAGAGCTCTATGGGAGTCTCTGTACTCAGAAACCCTAAGAAAGCAGACGGCGGCTTTCATCTCCAGTTTTTGCCCAGGCACCCTGCAATGTGTTTATAGGTTAATCAGCAACGTCAATGCAGGGAACGCAGGGCACGCCAGAACTCTGAATGTGGGCTATTTGAATACTCTGCATGTCTGATTTCAGGGGTTCCCGGAGTGCTCAGGAAAGGAAATTAGAAAAATAAAAGCATATGTAGGCACTTTGCAGTCCCTTCTTTTAACTTGTTATGTTGCCTTCATCTCTAAGTTTATGACAAGTTTATTTTTATTTTTTTTAAAAAGGATACAGAACACTTCGCTGAACCAGCATTATATTTTGCCTTTTGCCTGCTGCTTCTAATGAGCTGGCACCTAATTTCAAAAGCTTTCAGCTGACTCTTTTTTCCAACTACCAAATTTTCACTTTCAATGACCTACTTAATCTGAGCCTTTATCAGACAAAAACATGGCAGCCGAGACTTAACTGGAGTTTTGTAGACAAAAAAGAGAATTTCTTTTCTCCTTTTTTTTTTGATGTATTGCAAGAAAGATAAAAAAAGTCAAGAGCCTTTCGATAATATGTGTTGTAAAATGCTCATTACTTTTCCCTCTACGCAGGGGCGGACTGACAACTCATGGGGCCCCCGGGCAATAGGGGATCATGGGGTCCCTGTGTCCTTGCCCAAACTCAAAAAAGCCTATGAAAAAGGTACCAGGGGCATCTCATGGGGCCCCCTACTGAACAAAATTCAGATCCATTCATTATCCGAATTCGAATTATCGAACACATTCGAAAATTTAATTAATTTTCCCATGGGTCTGAACCACTATCACATCATGTGACATCATCCAAATGAAACTAATGTATTTGTTCATTTCTTATCATTTTTTTTTGATTCACTGACATTTATTACTGTATCTATTTGGAGATGCGTATACATCCGAATCTATGAAAATGACATTTTCATCCAAAAAACAAATCGAAAAAAAAAAAAAAAAACGCACATGTCTATCCCTAGCTTCAATCATCTTCCAACTACAAACCACAACCAAACATAACATCTAACCTTAACCCAAAACCCGATTCTGAACCCTCAATTCTACCCCAATTCTAATCTTCAACATGACCATAACTGTATCCCTGCCTCCAATCATTGACCTCTAACTATATATCTCAGTGTAATATCTAATATTTAATCTTAGCCCCAACCCTACATCTTGACCCATTTATGAACTCTCAAGCCAACCCTAATTCTAATCTTCAACATCACCCAAACATTATTCCTACCTCCAATCATTAACCTCTAACTAGATCTCTCAGCATA